CCGCTTTAAGAAATTAATTTTTATGGGAATATTATAAGAATAAAATGATACCATTATTTGAATAACATTAATTTTTGCATGATTATTAATTTAAAAAAAAAAAATTTAAAACTATTCTGAACATAACAAATTACTTAATAAATTGTAAAATTATTAAAATTGGTGGGATGAATTTATGTATGAACAGAAGAATTTTAATGAAAAATTTTGTTTGATAACGTTTCTATTACATCCTGAAATGATGAAATTTAGGATAGTTATTCTGGAAATATAATGATATCATTGTTATGGAAGTTAATTGTTGATATTACAAATTTCTTTCACAAAGAATGTAATATCATAAGGTGTATTTTGAAAGGAAAATTTAAATAATTCAACAAATTTTTGCATTCTGTAACTTTTTTTAATCCATTTTATTTAATCAAACATAGATATGCAGATTTATATTAAATGGAATAAACGGAATGCGAGAAGAATTATGGATTCATAAATTTTTAAGTTCAGAAAAAGTTGAACGTTTCAAAAATACATAATTCAAAAATGATACCAATGATGAAGTATTGGAACTAATGATAAATTCTATTATTATCATAATCTAAAAGAAAAAAAAAAATTCCCCTTCTTACCTTCAATTATGAGGTAATTTCTTGCAAAATTGTTTGCAAAAAACTTTTTTTTTCTTTTTTTTTTTTTTTTTTGTCCTAAATTCACTCTTCCAACAATAGATTACTATCATTATCATTTATGTTTAAGCTAAATAAAATGCAAAAAAAAAAAACGTGATAAATGATTGTTGTTAAAAAATAAATTTTAATTAACATCCAAAACTCACCGTCAATTAATTATTAAATCCGAACTTTTCATCAGTTTATTTTTTTTCAATTCTATTCTCAACAGAGATATTTCATTTTTTGTTTTTTCAACTATAATTTCATACAGTCTGTTATGATACTTTTTTAAATTTAAAATATCTGTACGTTAAAAGTTTTTATGGAAATAAAAAAAGAAAAAAAAAGGGGGTGTGAATGAGAAAGAATTATTAAATATTTGTTCCAACTAAAATTTTCGTTTTTTTTTTTTTTTTTTTTTTGAAATATTTTTAACTAATTGTGTTTTATTGTTGTATGTTTCATACAATTAATGCATTTATTTGTTGAAGATTTATGTTGGGATCACTTTGCATATCGATTGGTATTTATCATGAAATAATCAGGAAATCAGGATGAGGGAAATGGAAATTGCTAAGGTTTCTTCCGGTCACATTAGCATGAGAGAATGATTCCAGAAATTCCTGATGAATCACAATAGCTTTCAATTTAATGCTACCGGAAATGTTTCAACATTATGCAAAAAGGAATCAAACAGAAAACAACATTTATTTTTTTTTTTCCCCGGGCTATTTGCCCTAGACGAAACAAATTGGGTGAAAAAAAAAAAGATCAATCAATAAATAACGGTTACGTATGTTCGTTATAATGAAAAAAAAAAAAAAAAAATTGATCAAAACAATTTTTCAAAATTTCACGAAACAGTTTCTAAATTTACAGTTTTGACAGTTTAGAGAAATGAAATTTTCTTCCAGTTAGAAAATGGTACTATCCAATTAGCATCAGCTAATATCAGTATTTGATAACACGATAATCAAACAAATGATAACAAGATAATGATAATGATAATAATCATGTGGGAATGATAACGATTTACTGAAGTGGAATTTAGGAATATATCGCAACTAAACGATAACAAAAAAAAAAAAAAGGAAGAAAAAAAACGTAAATTTGATAAAGAACAGCAAT